TGAGGAGGGGATGATGGGAACCCACCAGTACTGATGGGAGGGTCAAGAGCGGGAGGGTCAGACTTGATGAATTCAAGGACAGTCTTGTGGAACTGAACCCTTGATCTATAGGATCTGGCAAAACCTACAGGTACAGAGTGCCTAAATCTAATCATGGCTGGTACCTGAAGACTTTCTTGGTGTGGAAGAAATGTAGACATTTGGTGTGTTTAAAAAAAAATAAAACAGCTTGGTATGGTGACAGATACCTATGACCCAGGAACTTGGGAGGCACAGGTAGAAGGATTGTGAGTTGGAGGCCAGACTGGGCTATGTAGCAAGAACCTGACTCAATGCTTAAGAAGTAAACAAATAATACTAAAATTCAAAAAGATTTTTTAAAAAAGCTCGGTCCACTGTTTTCAAACACATTCCTTTGGAAGGCCTCAGTGAGGAGGCGGATGGTGGGGGGTTGGGAGTGAAATGGAGTCATTTGTGCTCAAATCCCCCCCACGGGGTGAAACTCAGCGGCTCGTCTGGTTAGGAGAAATCAAGGTTAGCCACATGGCTGCCAGATCTCCGAACGGTCTGCCGTTAGTTGGATGATGGTGATGCTGTTAGAGCTAATCCAGAAACACGCCCAGGCAACCCTGACCTCTCCGACCACTCGTTTCACTCTTGTTCTGTCTCTCTGTTCTCAGTTTGCAGATCAAGTGTCCTTGAAGTGACAGATCTTTCTGTTCTGTTCCTGCTATCTTCAACCCTGTTCTGTAAAACCAGCCTCCCCTGCTCATTGCAACTCTCCCTGTTCTAGATCCGAGTACTGGCGGCTGTCCTAGGGCTGTTTGCATTGCTGCAGACAGATGCCTGGTATGGACCAGCAAAAGAAGGAATGATTGATTTTGTTCCTGGTTTCAGAGGGCCAGCCCCCATTCCAAACCCAGAAAGACGGCTGCTGGTGACAGCCGGGAAGGGCTTGTCCTGAAAGCGTGAGGTTTTGGATCCCTAGGACCCACGGCTAAAACAAACACCCCAACAGAGCCAGGTGTGGTGGTGCACACTTGTAATCCTAGTGCTAGGGAGGCAGAGGGAGAGGGGCTTGCTGGACGGCCCCTGTGGAGTCTAATTAGTACATTCAAGGCCAATAAGAGACCCTGACTCAAGCAAACAAACAAAATCCAATGCAAAACAAAACCAACAAGGTAGATGGCATTCCTCAGATAGTTGAGCTTGTCCTCTGAATCACACACACACACACACACACACACACCTGTACACACATGCCTGTATATATACACTCACACCTATATATATATATATATATATACACACACACCTGTATGTATACATAGACACCTATACACATGTACATACCCGTGTACATGCACATGCACGCACATATGTACACACACATGAATGCACGAATACACACACACACACACACACACACACACACACACACACACACACACACTAACAAAGCAACTAACAAGCACATACCAGAAAGCTGAGCCTATGGTTGAATCAGGTGCTCAAGCACCTCTCTTAATCCCTCAGGCCTTCAATGTTCCATGTTCTCAGCTCCCCGCTGCCCGTCTCTGCACCTATGCCTGAGCGTGCCCCGATGCGCTGGAAAGGTCACTTGGCTGGCAGATAGCTGCAGCCCCCTTGCCTCCTTTCTTCTGCATTCTGTACCACTTCTCAGTGTCGCTCTAAGCTTCTGCTTCAATCTCAGTTGCTCTCAAAGACAGCCTTTGTTGGTTCCCTTCTCAGCTTCCCCTTTATTGCTTCTCCCACCCCTGACTCACCCACTAATTCCAAATAAATCACCACCACTCCAATATTTATCTCCAGATCTGCTTCTGGGGAAGCATAAACTAAGACATAAATTAATCATGTTAATTAATTTTCAGCCTCCTTGGACCGAAAGGTAATTAAATGTGTGTTTTCCCTCCCTTTCCGAAGGCCTTTGGAAACAGTGCTGAGCCATTCCCAGCTGGCTCTGCTGCCAAGCTGCAGACATGAGATGCTCAGGGCAGGCAAATGTCAGCCCCCGAGGGCACAGCCACAGCCGACAGAGCTATTTATTGCAGGAATTCTGGCTGTCAGTTCTGATCTCTGTTGACAATCAGAGGAATTCACTCGTTCTGCAAATATTTTCCGAGTTCTGAGTCTCTGCAAGAGGCCCAGGCAGCACTGGCCAAATGAAAACAAATCCTGTGTGTCTTCTGTGAGATGCGGCTTTCAGATCACTCTATTAAAAACACTAATGGGTCTGTTCGGAATTAATGTTTGAATCACTGGTGAGCTGATGATGGCTATCAGATGGGGGGATGGTAATTGCCAGCTTTGGGGGTTTTTCTTTTTTTCTTTTTTTAATTTTCACACTAGGCAGGATTTATTTCTGATAACGATAATGACAGTCCATTTTTTAAAGAGACAGTCACTCGATGTGGTGTGCACTCCAGCAGGGCTCAGAAGGGAAGTCGGGCTGCAAACGGTTGGGCTTCCTGGGGTTTAGCTTTGGAAACAGAGCTAGGAAAGACAGCCAGTCAGGTGTGGTGGCACATACCTGTCATCTTTCAAATCTCCCATAATAGCACTTCTCAGTGGTAAATAACTTTATCATTTTTCTTTTATTCTTTGAGTTTACATTACATCCTGGCCACAGTTTCCCCTCCCTTCACTCTTCCCAGTCCTCTCAACCTCCCCTCTCCTCCAGATCTACAGCTCCCCCCCCAAAAAGATCAGGCCTCCCAGGGATATTAAATGAACAGGCATAACAAGTTACAGTAAGACTAGGCACCAACTCTCATATCAAGGCTGTATGAGGCAACCCAGTAGGAGGAAAAGGGTCCCAAGCTCAGGGAAAAGAGTCAGAGACATCCCTAATTCCCACTATTAGGAGTCCCACAAGGACACCCAGCTACATAATTGTCTTTCTTAGGGTTTCTATTGCTGTGAAGAGACACCATGATCCATCACAGCAAATCTTATAAAGGAAAACATTTAATTGGGTGGTTTAGTGTTTTAGAGGTTCAGTCCATTATCATCATGGTGGGACATGGAGGCATACAGGCAGACTTGGTGCTGGAGAAGGAGTTGAGAGTGGAGAAGAAGCTACATCTTGATCCTACAGTAGCAGGAAGTGGTCTGAGATACTGAACGTGGCTTGAGCATATGTGAGACCTCAAAGCCCGCCTCCACAGTGATACACTTCCTCCAACAAGGTCGTATCTACTCCACTGCGTGTGTGTGTGTGTGTGTGTGTGTGTACACCTGTGAATGCAAGTGCATCAGAGGTCAGAAGAGGATGTTATATTTCCTGGAGCAAGAGTTACAGGTGACTGTGAGCTGTCTGACACAGGTGCTAGGAACTAGACTCAGGTCCTTAGGAAGAGCAGTATGTGCTCATAATTACTGATCTATTTCTTTAGCCCCTGAGAGCTTTTAGTTTTAATAATAATAAACCACGAAGTCCTTCTGCTCTTTCTGATCTGATTGTTCTGGAGGGCACCGTAGATGTTATTTCTGAGGTGATCCTACTGTGCAGTTGGCATGGCAAGCATGGCAAGTCATCTGCTGAGCACCAGCAGCCCCTGATTTGCCTTTTCCAGTTCCTTTATGTGGTCCCCCCTCCCTCACCTTCTTGTTTCCAAGTCCCCAGGTGAGCGGCAGGGGCAGGCCAGAAGGACAAACCTTCTACAGTCTAGTTAATTCTTTTGTTATTTTTGTGAGGTTTCATACAACTTGGCTTTCCCCATTCATTAAATATAATTCAGATTACTTATAAAATTAACTTGAGAAATACTCAAAAGAAAAAAAAACCTTCTCAAAGTGTCAGATAAGTCAACTATTCAAAGGTAACCCACTGTGGACACCACTAACCTGATAGTCTAATTTTCATAGGTAACACCTAAGAACAGTGCTCTATTGTATACTGTAGTAGTACGTGGCAATTTTAACAGCTGGAAGGCCAATTCTAGTTAACTTTCTATAATTTGTTTTTTTGAGATGTGTCTTAGAACTGCCTATATGGGTGAGGCTGGTCTTGAACTCACAGATATTCACTTGCTTCTGCCTCCCAAGTGCTTGGGTTAAAAGCATGTGTCTCCACATCTAGCCATAAATAAAGTTTTATTGAAACACAGGGGTGCTTGGTGCTATCTATTGTCTCTGATTGCTTTTACACTACAGGAGTAAAGATGAGGGACTGCAACAGAAATCACCTGGCTTCCCAAGCCTAAACCACTTACTATTAAACAAAAAAAAACTTCGGTCCCTTGTATATACCATTCTGTAATTGCTTTTCTTCCATTTTACTTTCCATGGACTTTTTCCTGGGTTATTGTAATTATTTCATAAGCATCATTTCTAATAACAGGTTTCATTGCACATAACTTAGTCAGGTGGTGGTGCAGTTTTGCTCTTATGGTAAGATGTTTATATATATTCTTTTTACCACCTTTTTTTATTTAACCCTTAAAATGTTCCAGGGAGTATGTTTAGATATAAACGCTCTCTCTCCCTCTCTCTTCCCCTCCTTCCATTTCCTCTACTTCTTTTCACTTTCTCTCTCTGTACTCCTTCACTGAGCCTTACCCCTTGTATACCTAATGCTTTCTTTAAGATGCTGTCCAGATTGTTCAGCCAGTGGGTAGCAGGTAGCAGTGAGCAGGTAGGTGGCAGGCAGTAGCTAGCAAATAGGAGCACATAAACACTCTTGATACAGAAGACAAAATCCTTTACTCTAAGGCTGGATAGCAACTTATACCTTGTGTCTTTGATGACACAGTGGAGAATCCTTTACACGTTCGCTAGAATTGAACATTGTCATTTTAAACATTTTCTTATTTCAGAGAGGCAAACAACCATTATTACCTTAACTTGCATTTCTTATCTTTCTACGGGGACCAAGCTTGTCACTAAATGGCTGCTTTTCTTCTACATGCTGGCTGCCTCCTCCTTGCTTGGCCTCCTTCTTTCCAGAGCCCAGGGGAAGATGCTGGCCTGTATCTTACCTTAGCTTGGAGCAAGGCTCCTGCTTCTGCTCGGTTCTTTTCCACATCTCTCTCCCACTGAATTCTGATTGTCTCAAGGACATCATCCAGACCAGTGCCCAGAGGAACATCTGTTTGCTCCAGTTCAGACCCTGCCAGCTGTTTGTACAGAACCTTTACATCCTGAAAGCAACAACAGACAGCTTAGGTAAGC